GGGGGCGGCCGCGGCCGGGGGCGCGCCGGCGGCGTGGGCGCGGGGTGGGCACGGCCGCCGCGCATGATTCACCGCGCGCCGCGTAGTCATGGCATTTCTCCGCGCTGACTCCGCCGGCGGCCGCAGCCCCGCTCGCCGCCCGCGGAGCAGAGCGCATTCCTGCCCGCCTGCGTGTGCGCCTCCCGTGCCCGCGGCCGCCTGCCCCGACCGGGCCTTGCGCGCGCGGCGACTCCTCCGCGGACATGCCAGCCGTCCTGCTCTTCTGGGGCCGCGCCGAGAGGTAGGAGCCGCTCCGCCGCCGGCGCGCCGGGAGAAACTTGCGCGGCAGCGCGCCCGCGCCGGGTCGGGGCTGGCCGAGCCCAGCTGCGCCCTGGCTGGCTCCGGCTCCGGCGCCGGCGCTACCGTCCCGCGCGAACGTGCGTGGCGGCGCCGCGCGTGGCCCATTGGCCGGGGTGGCGGGAGAGGGGCCGGGGCCCCTCGGCCCGCCCGGGCTTCTCCAGAACCTCCGGCCGTGCGAGCCGCATTGTGCCGCGGGCGCCGTCGCCCTGGCCTCGCGCGAGCCCGGTCAGGTGGCGGGCGGCCCACGTGGCGCTGCGGGCAGAGCCGCCGGCTGCCGGGAACGGGTCTCTGGCGCTGCTCGTGGCTTGGCGGCGGGCGCTCCGCCGGGCCATCCCGGGCTGCGCGCCCGACCGCGCGCGAGCGAGGCCTGAGCCGGTGGCCTCCTTGCCCTTCTCTGGGGCCGCCGCACGGGAATGAAGTTGCCGGACTACGAAGCCCGGTGCGTGGAAGGACGGGCGCGTCGGTGCCCGCCACCGCTTCTGACGCGGGCGGGAGCCGCTTCCCCCGGCAGCCCGCTCTGACGCGCGCGGGATCCTCTCCTTTCCAGCGGCCGCTGCCGGGCTGCCGGCAAGTTGCGTGTTGGAGGAGGTGGAAGGCCGCCCTCCCGGGAATGCCTCGCCGCCTGGCTCCCCTCCCCGCCACCACGTCCCTCTTTCGCCATCGAAAGGAGCGACTTGGCAAAGTTGGGGTGGGCTTCTGTGTACCCCGCACTCCTTCCCTGTTCCTCCCTCCCTTCACCGGTTCACCTGTGTGAGGTGGGCACCTGCCACTCCTCCTCCTCCCCGTGCAAAGCCCCCCAGGCTTTGCCCGGGCTGCGTTTCTAGGAGGGTGGGGGCAGCAGCCCGAGCAGCGGGGCCCCTGGGCACGGAGGCAAGGAGGACGCCAGTGCGGCACTTCCGCCTGAGCGCGCAGCAAGAAGCCAATTAGAGCGGTTCTCGCTGCCGAGGGATTTCATTGAGCGCGTGGCGTGGCGTGGCGTGCGGTGGGGAGGGGGCTGCGGGAAGCGCACGGAGGGAGGGGGCTGGCTCGCTCGCCCGCCCGCCGTCGCGCTGCCTAGGAGCCGTTCGCCTGAGCAGCAGCCGGCTCTGGGGCAGCCGGGGTTTGCTCTTGGTCTGGGCTGCTCCTCCGGCCGGGCTGGCTGCTCTGGGCTTCCCTGGGCTTCGATCTGGTGCTGCCGCCGTCTTCTCCTGGGAGGGCTCGGCAACCCTCGTTGCCACAGCCGGGAGGTCCGCCCTGCAAGCATGTTCAGGATCAAGCTAGAGCCCCTGAAAATGAGTGCCTGGGCCATGAATATATTTGTGAAGTTCCGGTAAGTGCCCGCTTCCCTTCCCTTTCTCTGTCGTCGGCGCGCTCGTTCCCCATGCCTGAGCGGGGGTCTCCCGGCATCCATCTTTGTTCCCTGTCCACGTCTTGCATCCACTGTGGGGCGATGGATTAGCGGGCCGCTGTAGACCGGAAGGGCCACCGTGCCCCACTGCCACCTCTGCTGTGGGTATGGCCAGGTTGAACTTCTTCCGGCTGACCCAGCCCTGGCGCTGCCTGCGGCTTGGGAGGCAGCTGTGCGGGAGAGAGGGCTGGCCGTTCAGGGGGCTTCCCGATGCTCCGCCAGAGACCCCTTCCCAGAGGGGGAGGGTTGCAGGGGGGGTGGCAAGCGCCGCTTCTGCTTCGTGGCCCTTCAAAGGCTTTGCCGGAGACCTCCTGCGAGCGCCTGCTTTGTGTAGAATCATCTGCGGGAGGAGGGGCTGGTGCCGCTCAGGCACCGTGTGTATGTGTGTGTGGGGGGGGGGGGGATTTGGAACATGAAGGGGTGGGTGGCACTCCAGCCCCCTCCCTCTTTCGGAGCCTGTTCCAGGGGCACGGCAGAGCCTGCGGGGCTCCCGTGAAGGAGCGCAGCTGGTCCCGGCCGTGTGGGAGAGCCTCTCCCAGGACGCAGTCGTGTTTTACCAGAACCTGTGTGGGGTGCTGCTCCACGAGGATGCGAACCTGCCGGGTGACCTGCACGGCTTGGCAGTGTTCCCCGCAGCCTGACGTCAGGCAGCCCCCGCTCCGCTCGCTCGCTCGCTCGCTCGGAAGAGCTCCCTGCCCCTCCGCTGCCGGAGGTGTCGGCAGCCTGTTCCGTTCGTGCCGTTCTGTTCCAGTGCGGAACGGAGGAATCCGCGGGGACGTGCACTCGGGGCCAGCACGCTCCCGGGCCGGGCTTCACCCCCCGCCCACTTCTACTCCCTGCCCCCCGGCCGCCCCCCCGGCCCCCGTGCGCGGGAAAGCGGAGCCCCGCGACCTGGCAGGCGTGCCTCCGGAGGATGCCACGGATGCTGGGTGCGGTGGCGGGAGCTCACCCGCTGCTCGGCTGGTGTCCCAAATGCGCCTCCACTCCCAGGGAGCGCTGGGGCCAGCTCGGTCCCCCCGCACCCTGTGGGGGCCCTCCGGAGGGAAGGCAGCTGCCGGGCCCTTCTCAGTGGCTTCTTTGTGGTGCTGAGCACGTTCTGCCCTCCTGTGCTGGCGGGGGCTGCCTTTTCCCTGGGAGCAGCCGGCGTCCAAAGGGCCGCTCGGCTGTGCCCGCTCCCCCCGGCCCCTGTGGGCTCGGCACCCCAAGCGCTAGCCGCACGCTCCCTGCGCTCAGTGCGTGGGGCTGGGGCGCCCGGCGGGGCCCTCCCCCGAGGCTTATTTCCAGCTCCTGATCTCACTGATTAACGCGGGGAGGTGCTGCTCCTGTGGCAGCGATACGTGCTCCCGCTTGTCGCCCCCCCCCCCGTTCCAAGGCGTGTGCAGACGCCCCCGCAGGAGCGGACTGCGTGAGGTTCTCAGCCGGGGGTGTGCTGGGTTCCGTGTTCCGCGGCTGGGTGTCGGGGGCGTATCTGCCTGCCAGGGTTTCCTGGGGATGCTCCTGGCCGAGGGGCAAGGCGGCCGTCCGACCAGTTGGCGTGGCCACGCAGGGCCCCTTCCCGGCAGCCGAGCAGCCCCGTCCTTCTGCCGCTGTTGAGCAAGGGCATCTCTGGCGCTGCCCCCCCCCCCCCGTTGCCGGAGCGGGGGCCCCGCGGGGACCCCGGGCTGACAGGGCCAGCAGCAGCTGGCGGCCCCAGATCGGGCCTGGTGGCTCTGGCGTCGCTCTGTGCAGCCGCTGGCCTCCCTGTGTGGGAGCGTCCCACAGGGCCGGTCCGAAGCGAGGTGCGGGCAGGACCCCTGGGCAGAAGGGGGCTGTTCACTGCCCCAGCCGCCCTTGCATCCTTGGGAGCCCACAGAAAGGGGCAGGGGCCCTGCCCCACTGGGTGGCTGGGGGGGGGAATTCGGTGAAGGTGTCCAGGCCTGGATGACAGCCATTATGCCACAGAAACGCCACTGCCCATCTGCCAGAGCCTCCGAAGAGAACGTGCACCTGGGGGGGAGCTGAGCAAGGAACTGGTTTGGGAGCTGCTCGGCCCAGGAGGGGAGCGCAGGAGGGCGTGTTGCGCTCGGGGTGGCGAAGTGCGGGAAGTGACCTGGGTTTGGTGGTGGGGCGGCATGGGGGTCAGCCGCGAAGCCTGGGGGCCCCTCAGCTGGGAGAGACGGAAGAAACGAAGAGGGGTCGGGTGGGAGCAGGCCGGGTGCCATGGGCCGCTTGTTGGCGTGCCGAGGGGCCTCCGCTCCCCGGCTGGGCGCACGCGGGTGCTGTGCCAGGCTGCTCCGGTGCCAGGCAACGAGGCGGGTGCCGGTGCCGGCCTCCGCGTGCGGCCGTGAGCCCTGCCTGGGCCTGGCTCGCGGCTCCTGTCGCTCCCGGCCGTTGGCCGTGCCGGCCGAGACTCATGGGAGGCGTGTGCCGGATGCCTGTGGGGTGCCGGCCCGGCCCGGCCCTGGAGAACGTGCCCAGCGCTGTGCGCGGCTGCCCGGCCCGTGCCTGGGCCCAGGGGCCGGTCCCCGCGTTGGTGGCCCCGTGCAGCCTCACTTGGGGAATCGCTCGCTCGCTCACTCGCTCGCATCCCGCTTCAGCCAGGCTAACGACTGCTTTAAAAATAACTCCCACCCGTAGTCGCAAGATGCCTCGTCTAACAGCTCCGTTCTGTGCCGTCTTTCCGCTGGTGCCGGTGCATCGTGGGAACGTGTCCCTGCGTGAACCCGCCCTAGCGTATTGTTTGAGAAGTTCTTTTAAGGCAATCCACGAAGCGCAGAAGGGGCAGGCGGGGGGGGAGCAGCCCAGCTCGGCCGCTTCACCTCCGTGTCGCTGCGCACTGCACGGCCGCGCGGGGCCCCTCTGGCCCCCCGCCTGGCGGCCGAAGGGCTGCTGTGGCGAGCCGCCGGGCACCTGTCCCGCGGGCCGTGCTGCCCTCCGTCTCGGCAGAGGAGCCGCCTTCCCGCTGGCCCGCCCGGGGCTGCCAGCTCGCCCTTCCCAAGGCTCCTTCCCCTGCCCTATTTGTGGAGAGGGGCCTGGCCTCCTTCTCTGGTTACGAGTCACGTGGGGCCCTCGGAATAACAACACCGCCCGCCCGCACCGTGCAGGCTGCCCCCGCGACTCCCGCCGAAGGAGGGTGAGCGGACCTTCCCCGGTCCTTCCTCCCCCCCGCCACGTGGGGGGCTGGGAGGCGGGGGCTGCGCAGCTGGGGAAGGGTCCCTGTGCCGTGGGCGGAACGCTCAGCGCTGGGGCTGGGTGCCCGGGCCAGAGCCGCGCCAGCCGGTGGCCCGGGTGCCGCCGCAACTGGAGGAGCGGGGCACGTCGGGGCACACTTCGGGGCACCCCCCGCTCCCGCCTTCGTGGGCAGACCCGTTCTGACCCGGCCTCGCTCTTTCTCCCCCTTCCAGGAATAAAGAGTCGGTGGCTGGGGCGGTCTCCACCATGGGGAAGGATTATTACAAGACCCTGGGGATCCAGTCGGGAGCCAACGAAGACGAGATCAAGAGGGCCTACCGGAAAATGGCCCTGAAGTACCACCCCGACAAGAACAAGGACCCCAGTGCTGAGGAGAAGTTCAAGGAAATCGCCGAGGCCTACGAAGTCCTGAGCGACCCCAAGAAGCGGGCCGTGTATGACCAGTATGGGGAGGAAGGTGAGGCGTCTGGAGCTTGGCTTCTGGGCACTCGCCAGCCTGCGGGGGGCTCGCGGCCCCCCTCGCCGAGGGGCAGCCCGGCAAAGCCCGCTGCAGGGCCCGAGGTGCTTCCCTTGGCTAACGGCCCCAGGAGGGCGGGGCCAAGGCCCCCCCTTGGTCGTGTGGGGAGGAGAGCTGGGGCCGGGCTGCTCCCCAGAGAGGCCGGTGGGGCCGCGGCTCGGCCTCTCCCGGGCGCAGGGCGTAAGGCATCCGCGGGCCGCTCGGGGCCAGCGAGGCTTTCCTGCGCCTTCTGCTTCCTTTTCAGTACATGCTGCTCGGCGTGCGTGGGGGTTGGCAGAGAGCGCTTTTCCCAATTTTAGTAATAGCTCCTTGTTTCATAACAATCTTGGGCTCTTTGGCAGCGAGCGCCGCGCGTTCTGCAGCCCTTCTCCGCTCCAGAGGAGGAAGGCAGCTGGGAATGGCAGCGGCCGGGCCGGGCCAGGCCAGGCCGGAGCTGCCGGGCAGGAGCGGGGGGGCCAGCCCAGCCCGGCAAGCAAGCGCGCCAGCCGGGCAGAGGCGGTCCAGCACATGCAGAGCCGTTGGCCAGAACTCGCTGGGCAGGTGGAACCGAGCCGCTTGCCTTTGCTTGCGTGCCTGTTGCCTCCAGGATGCGCGAGGCTTTGTAGCGTTTGGGGAGGGGGCAGCAGGGGAGAGGGGGCTTGTGTAGCTTGGGGGCCGGCGGTGGCATTCAGCCCAGATGCATGACTGTGGGGGGGCTCTTGGCCCGCTTCCGCTCCCCTCCAAAACTTGCCCTTTTGCAAGGCACACAAGCGGCACTCCTGCGCCTAAAGGCTGGGAACGCTTTTCTAGGGGAGGCACAGAAGCCCCGGGGGAGAGCAGGGGGGCTGCTCTTGGTGGGGAGAGGACTTGCCCGGGGGGGGGGGTCTCTCTGGCCTTCTGAAAATAAAAGCTCTCTGCCCGATGAGCTGCACTGCATGTGCTCCCATGCCCGGGCCATCTAATTTTGTCACAGTTGTGACTGACAAGACATAATGACGGCAATTTCAGCTAAAAGCTGCAATCTTGCTTCCCGGTTCCTGGAAAAACAGTTGTCCGTCCAGCCCACTTGAGTGCTATCCCTTTGGGGTTCATCCGGGAGAGCCGAAGCGCATCCTCGGATCAGATGAGCTGAGGGAGGAGATTGCTCTGGCTGGAGGGGGAGGAAAGGCCTCTGCCGGAGGGGGGGGGGGGGGGGGGGGTTGGCAGCTGTGCTGCTTGGGGGCAGGGTGAGGCAGAAGCCTGGTCTGGGGCGTGGATGCAGTTCGGGGAGTGGGGAGCTCCTGGTTGGCCCAGGGGTGGGGCGAAGGGCTGCCTTGCTCCCCAGCCGGTGGGGCTCAAGCCATCACAGAGGTCGCTCTTGGAGCTTTTGCTGTCAGGCCACCGCTATCTAACGAGGACCCGAAACTGCCGGCCTGGCTCCCGGCAGTCTCTGGAACAGCCTTCCACCTTCCGGCACACGTCTGGGCATCTGCTCCCTGATCAGCTGGCTGCTCCAGGCGTCCCCCAGTCCCGCCAACCCTTCCCCGCGGCCCCTGGCACCGTCCTGGGCGTGCCTGCTCCAGAGGAGCCCCGGGGGGCACCTGCCGCAGCACCAGCTTTGTGGGTGTGTGTCGCTGGGTGGGAAGCAGCCCTCACCTTCTCCAGCTTCTGCATTTGGGCTGAAACATAGGAACAGAGCGAGTCAGGAGGGGACTTCCGGGCCATCTAGTCTGACCCCCGGCTCCAGCCGGCTCCGCTCACGACATGCCCACCATGTGCACGCCTAGCCTATCCTTGAACACCCGCACCGATGGGGCCTCAACAACCTCCCTGAAGCAGGCAGCCAGGCAGCATTGGTGGGGGAGGAACCGGGGGGGCGGGGGGCGTCCGACTTTCCTTCTCAGCCAAGCCGGCTCGCTCCCTCGCACTGCCCGTCCCGTCCCGATGCGCATGCTCCGGGCGTCCGTTCTGGGCGCTCAGCTGAGGCTTCTGCCGTCCTGGTTCTGCTCTAGGGCTGAAGACCGGCAGCGGCTCCTCTGGCACCACGGGCACCGCGTTCCACTACACCTTCCACGGGGACCCCCACGCCACCTTCGCCTCCTTCTTCGGGGGCTCCAACCCGTTCGACATCTTCTTCAGCAGCGGCCGCTCGCGGGTGTTCAACGGCTTCGACCACGACGAAATGGACGTGGACGACGACGGCGACGACCCCTTCAGCGCCTTTGGCCGGTTCGGCTTCAACGGCCTCAGCGGCGTCCACCGGCGGCACCCGGAGCCCATCCACATGCGCCGGAGGGTGCAGGACCCGCCAGTGGTGCACGAGCTGAAGGTGTCGCTGGAGGAGATCTTCCACGGGGCCACCAAGCGGATGAAGATCACGCGCCGGCGGCTGAACCCCGACGGGAGAACTGTGCGGACGGAGGACAAGATCCTCAACATCGTCATCAAGCGTGGCTGGAAGGAGGGCACCAAGATCACCTTCCCCAAGGAGGGGGACGCCACGCCGGACAACATCCCCGCCGACATCGTCTTCATCCTGAAGGACAAGCCCCACGCCCACTTCCGGCGGGACGGCACAAACATCATCTATACGGCCATGATCAGTCTTAAGGAGGTGCGTCCGGGGCCGGGCCGGGATGCTGGGGGCTCCGGGTGCCGCCGTGGGGCTGCCCCTCCGGGGCTGCTGGCCCAGAGGGGTGGGAGTCACTGCCCCAGCGATCCGGAAGGGGAGGGTCTGCGCACAGACGCGGTTGGGACAGGCTGTGGGAAGAGGCAGGCGGAGGCTCTGCTGGGCTCCCAGCTGGTTGCTTGCTGCCCGGGTGCACCCTGCTCTTTCCGGGGTTGTGTAGTGCAGTGGGTAGAGCTTTGCCCCTCCACTGTAAGGGATCCTTCCTTGGCCAAGTGTTCCCAGGAGGAGGCCACCGCCTGCAGCCGGGGGGGCGGCATGCACTGGTAGGGACCCAAGCCAGTGGGCATGGGGGAGGCTGGCGGGACGGCTGCCCCGGGCACTCCGGCTCCACTGCAGGGGCAGAGGCGTCCGGGGGCAGAGTCTGGGGAGGCGCAGCTAGAGCCAAGGCCCCCCCGCCGGATGAGCGGGGGCTGAACGCCCTTGCTGGGGGTGGCTCTGTTCCCCTGAACTGGGAGGCAGGCTGGGGCTGCTCGATGTTAATGTTCTTCCACTCACAAGCCCCCCGGCACGGCCCCAGGAAGCCGAGGAGCGAGAAAAGAGCACAGGCCCTTTCCTCTGCAGGAAGCGAAGCGCCTAAGCCCGCGAAGGGCCCCCCCCCCCCGCCATCCCTTCTCAGGAGCTGTCTGAGCTCTGCAGGTGCCGCTGGCACTCGGCCAGGTCGCCCTTGCGGGGGAGGAGTGGCGGCACCGGGGGCCCCCCCTCGCTCGGCTTCCAGGCGATGCTCGTGGTTTGGCGTGATGCAGGGGAACGCGGTTAAAGGAGCTGCTTTGCGGTGCTGTCCGGCCGTGGGATCGGCCCGCGGCTCCTTAACGGGGGTGTGCGGCCAGGGAGGTGGCCTCATGGGCTCTTGGGAGGAGGAGTGTCCTCGCTTCCGTGGCCCAGAGAGGTCAGGGTCTGCCCTCGGGTCAGCTGCGTTGCCTGGACGAACTGAGATCCCACCCGTGGCACCTCCCGGGCCCTGGGCGAAGGGGACGAGCAGCGTGACTGCAGACCCGGCTGCTCCGTGGGAGCCGTCTGCTCAGGACGCGGTGCAGAACCTCTGCCAGGGCCCAGACAGGGCCTCTCGGGGTCCCCCTCGCCCCAACCGCTTCCCGCGTCTGTGCAGCTTTTACCGCACCCTGAAGGCTGAGATGCCCTTTCCTGAGCGCGGACAGGAAGAGCTGCAAGCTGACAGGCAGCCTTGGCCCCTGCCTGCCCTGGAGCCCTCCAAAGCGGGGGGACCTGGCTTGGCCGGGAGAGGCACGGCCAGGCGGCGGCCAGGCAGCGTTCCAGAGCTCGCTCCCTCGCTTCCCCTTCCCGCCCACCCGGCTGGAGAGCCACCGCAGCCTCGTGTTTCAGCGCCGCACCCCCGGTTGAAGTGGCGTGGGCATTGCGGTTGGGTTCCCGGCCAGCCTCCCGGGGCCTTGAGTGCCAGTCACCAGGCGCGTGGCCCCCGAAGCAATGGCCCTCCCATCCTGGCAGTGGGCCCCCCTTCCCTTTGGGGCCCCTGTGGGCCCTGCAGGGTCAGCTTCGGGGGCCCTGAAAGGGTGCTCGGCTGGCAGCTCCCAGCAGGGCCTTCGACGTGCCTTGGCCGCCACCCGTGGCCGGGGCCGTTGCCGGTGTGCCCGCCACTGCTGCAGCCAGTCTGGGGAGGCGGGTCTGGCGGGGGCCGTTCCTCTGCCCATGAGCATTGCCTCCAAGAGGAGCGATGGCCTCACGGAGCAGGAGTGGCGGCAGGCTCTGTGGTGCTGCGCTGGGGAGAAGCGGCATTTCCCGGCCCCTGGGCTGGCGCTCGCTCCTCCCAGGAGGCTTCCCGTGCCTCTGCCCTTGCGCTGGCGCTCGCCAGGGATTTCCTGCGCACTGGAGACTGTGCCGTGATTGGGGTCCCGGGGCCGAGAAGGGGCCTCCATGCCCCAGCCCAGCGCGGCCACGGACCGGCCTTGCCGCTCCCCGGTGCCGAGCTGATGGCTCACCCGCTGCCGGGCAAGCAGAGCTGGCACCCCCTCTCCTCCGTAGCTGGGACTACGGGGGCCGGGAGATTTGGGGTCGGGGGGTGCTGCTGGAAGTGCCTTCGCTGTGTGTGGATCCCAGCTGGGCCCCAATGCGGCTGCCCTTCTCCGAGCAGCCGCTGCCCTGCCTCTGGCCCTGCTCCCCTCTGCGTCCGCCTGTTGAGGGACCCCCGCCCCAGTGGGGGCCATGAGCACGGTGGGTGGGGGGGTCATGCGAGCACAGAAGAGGCTTGGCCGGCCTGCCGCGGGAGGCGACTCTCAAAGTGGCCCCCAGGCCGGGGCCTCCCCCTGCATGGCCTCCCCGGGCGCCCAGGGAGTGCCGGGCTGTGCCCAGGGGCATCTGTGCGGGGAGGTGCCCACCCGCCCGCCCTCCCCCTGGCCTTGGCCACCTGCCCCTGCTGCTCTGGGCTGCGGCCGTCTCCGGGGCTCGTGCTGGCCCTCCGCCGGCTCCTCCTGGCTCCTGGCGGTCCTTGCCAGCGGCTGCCAAGCGTGCCCCCCCCGCGGCTGCTTCGAGGCCAAGCTTTTCTGCGCATTCCTTCCAGGCTTCTGCCGTGCCCCCCCCACCCCCCGCACAAGCTCTCTCCAGGTTCTCATTTTTATTATTAGTGCTTATTGTTCAAAACAGCTTCTATAACAGTAAAATCAGGATGGTATTCATACAGTCACAAACACAGAGACACAAAATTAAACGAACACACATAAAAAGAAAAGCACGCATGCACAAAATACAGACATTCGTAAGTCAGTGGTCGGCTCCTTCCTTCCCCGGCTCTCACTACAGACACAGTTAGAAACACAGGAACAGAAGCAGAGCGAGTCGGAAGGGGTCTCCCGGGCCATCTAGTCTGACCCCCGGCTCCAGCCGGCTCCGCTCACGACATGCCCACCCTGTGCGTGGCCAGCCTCTCTGTTGTGTGGCTGGTGCTCCTTCCCAACGAAAGCAGTTACTCCGGCTGATACTACCAATGTCTTTATTCTAAACAGTATTACATGTGAAGTCAAAACAGGATAGAAAGTTGGTCTCATTCTGACTAAGTTCAGCCCACGCTCGGTGTATGAGCCCTCCGTGGCCCCCTCCATGGGCCGAGCGCTGGGACCCCTCTGGCGCCGCTCGGTCCATCTGGGTCCCAGCCGTCCCAGTCCGCGTGCGCGCGCACAAGCGTCCACAGGCCCTCTTCGCCCCTTATCGGCTTGGTTCGCACACCCCTTATCGGGAGACTGGGCATCCGCTTTCATGTCCGCGCCCAAATTGTCCTGGCCTTGTCTTCCTTTCCAGGGAAGACCTGCCTGGGCTAGTCGGGATGAACGGGCCACTAGGCTTGGCGGTTGCTTCCCGGCAGCCTCTCGCTCTGGCTTTGCGCATCGGGCCATGCTGGGCAGGCGCAAGCAGCCAGTCTGAGCGAGCCGGCTTGCCCCCTCCTGCGCCCCCCGACAGCCTGCGGGGGACACGCCAGCCAGCATTCCCATCCCGCGAGCGGGGCCAGTGTGGCATGAGCTGGCCGGGGGCTCTTGGGAGTGGCAGGGGGGGCCCAGGCCAGGAAGGGGCCGGGGGGGCGGGCGGGTGTCGCCGCCAGCGCGCTTGGGCGTCTCCGCCGAGTCTCTCCGCTGCACCCCTCCGCGGACCCGGAGACAGAACGTCCGGCCCTTGCACCTGTGCAGAAACCTCTGGGAGGCCCGGGTGCCCTGGCATAAGAGCCTGAGAACAGCCCTGCCCGGCCACTCCCCGGCCCCTCCAGCCCAGCCCTGCGCACCCTCCGTGGCCCACCAGCCGCCCACGACGTGCCTGCCAGCTCCCAGCAGCCGGAGCACGCAGGCATGTGCGAAGGCGGCCCACGGCCCCCCTGACTGCTGCCATGGGGAGCCCCCCCCATGACCCTGCCCAGTCCCCTTGCAGTGCCACCAGACTGGTGGCCAGCACCACTTCCCGCGGCACCAGGCCCCGCAGCTGAATTGCGCATGGCATGCGGAGGTGCTCCTTTTGGTCTGCGCCGGATCCCCCACCCCGCTGCTTCCTGGGATGACCCCTTTGGGCTCGAGTGCTGCAGAAAAATGCCCCCCTCTCCGCTTTTCCCCCAACGTGCATTATTTGAAGCCCCTCCATCCTGTCTCTCCTTTGGTGCCCCTTACAGCCCCTTGTGGTTTGAACCACCCTAAATAGTTCCGTGTTGTCAGCCTCACTGCTTACTCCTAATTCCAGATCATGTAAGAATAGGTTGAAAAGCGCTGGCCCAATCCCAGTGCAGAGCCCGTGGGACTCTGCTGGGGACGTTGGGAGAGGTTGCCCCTTATTCCCACCCTCTGCCTCCTGTTCTTTAACCAGTTAGTGATCCGTAACAGGACCCCCCCCCCCCCCCCCCCCCCCTTTTCCCTGGCTGCTTAGTTTGCTCAGGAGCCTTTTGGGAGTCCGAGTACACGGCCTGCTGGATTGCCCGGCCCGCCTGCTCACAGATGCGCTCAGTGAGTTCCAGTCAGTCAGTCAGCCGAGACTTCCCCTCGTGGAAGCCACGCCGGTCTTTTCCCACAGGGCTTGTCCCTCCGTCCCCGTGCGGATTCTTTCTTGAATGAGGCGTTCGAGCAGTTTTCTCAGAGCAGATGCTAGGCCACGTGGTCGGCCTTAATCCTCAGACGCCCCTCCGGACAGCGGGAGGCCAGGGCCTGCTCTCTGCCCCGCATCCCCCACCGTCCACTTAAGTCCACTTCTGCCCAGTGGCCCAGCCGCTTCCTTTCTCCTGATGTCCTCAAGAATCCCTTGTCTGCCTCGAGGTCACAAGCAAAATGCTCCGCGGGGCCCTCCCTGCCTTGGCCGCGAGCAGGCCAGCCAGCGCACGCGGGCCCAGGGCCAGGGCCCCACGGCCGGTGGCACAGCGGCCTTGCAGGGCGGGCCTGGGGAGCCCTCGGGTGGGACAGAGCCGAGCGGCTGCGGATCGCTGGCCTTCCTCGAGTGCAGAAGGCGCTGTGGGCTCAGAGCGGGGTCCCCCTGGCCAGCGCTCTCCTCGCCCAGCGGCCGACTCGTGGTGGTGCTGACCTTTGATTTCGCCAGCGGCCTGCAGGAAGCCCGTGAGCAGGGCAGCAGCGCATGGCACTCTCCCACCCATGTTCCCCGGCAGGCTGCCCCCTCCCGGTTCTGGATCATTTTGGAGCGAGTCGAAGTGCGGGGCCACGTGGAGGCGAATCGCGGCCTGGAACGACGCCAGGGGGAAGAAGCCCCCCCAGCCGGCGGCCTTTCCCGGCTGCGCCTCCCAAAGCGGCGGAGGGGGCCCTCCTCCCCTCCCCCACACGGCCAGGGCTGCGCTGGCAACTCGTTCTGTGCCATGGACGGAAATAGCCCGGTCCACCCAGCGCTGAGCTGCTGCTGTTGCCAATCCAGGCCCGGGCGAAGCTGCCCGGAGAAGTGCTCCAAGCCGCGCGCTTCCCGGCCGCTCCACTCGCACGCGCCAAGGCCGGGCCGCTGACGCGCACGACAGCTGAGCAGGGTGCGAAGCCACGGGGGGACGTGTCCTGCACACTCGGTGACCTCACTGGAGATTAGGTTATCAAGCCAGTCTAAATTTATCTCTATAAATTTATCCTGTGCTTGGATGGGGCTGCGGGTCCCCGCGGAGTCCGTGCGTCGGAAGCCGCCCGTTTGTTTTGTTTGAAGCATGCATGTCCGCCCCTGCGTTATCTGATCGGGGAGCACCATATGCGGAGCGTGTCCTCGCCACCTCCTGAGCCGGCCTCTGTCCTGCCTTCCCCGAGGGGCCCCGGGCACAGGCGGTCTCTGCCGCGGGGCGGGCCCCCCGGAGGAAGCTGGCACGGGGCCGGCCGGCCGGCTGCAGCTGCAGGGGCCGGCCGGCAACGCCCTCTCCCGTTCTCTTCCGCAGGCCTTGTGCGGCTGCACCGTCAACATTCCCACGGTCGACGGGCGCGTCATCCCCCTGCCCTGCAGCGACATCATCAAGCCCGGCACTGTGAAGAGACTGCGTGGCGAGGGGCTGCCCTTCCCCAAGGTGCCCACCCAGCGCGGAGACTTGATCGTGGAGTTCAAAATCCGCTTCCCGGACAGGATAGCCCCGCAGACGCGGCAGATCCTCAAGCAGCACCTGCCCTGCTCCTAGAGGCCCGGTGGGGGGGCGCGGGGGCCTCCCGCCCGCCGGCTGGCCCCAGGCAGCAATACTTCTTCACGTGTGTGCGGTGGTGCTCTTGGCCTGCACGGTGTGCACGGGCTTAGCCGGGCCTGCGCTGCAAACCACGTCCCGCACCTGCGAGAGACGCTCCGGCCCGGGGCGTGCGCCCCTCCACCTCTTTCCCTGGCCACATGGCTCGCTGCAGATGGCCCCCTTCGGGTCCAGCACCCCCGCTTGTGTGTGAGCCTCCAGCCCCCGTGTGCTTGAGGGCTCCGCTGCGGAGCCTGGCTGGCAAACAGCTGGTCACGAGATGCCAAGGAGGCCACGGGAGGCTGCCCCGGAAAGCCTCCCGCTGGCCAGACTCTTCCGGTTGCTCTAGGCATCCGGCCCTTTCCGGACTCCAGCCTGGCCCGCCCCAGTTCCCGGGGCCCATCCTGGCCTGCCTCTGCAGTCACCGAAGAGGGCTGCTCTTGTCCCCGCGCCTCCCCTCTGGCCCCGCGGGTGCTGACTTCTGGGCTCGTGCCGGCCGGGCCGGGCCGGGCCAGGCCAGTGGCTCTCCCGGAGGATGGGTCTGGGTGCTGGTGAGCGAGCCTTCGGTGTCCCGTGTGGCAGCGGGCGGCGCAAGGGCTGGCTGCGGTCGCGGCACTTTGGAAGGTCCTCGTGTCGCCCGTGTAGCAGCCTCGCGGGGGCCGGTCGCCTCCTTTCCCATGGGGCGCAGCCGAGTGGTGTCTCTGCAGTGTGTGAGCACAAGTTGGGGCCAGGGCTGGGGGGAGCTTCCCGGGGCCGTGTGCGTGCGCATGTGTGTGTTTGTCCAGAGAGGGTGGAAGGGGCCGGGCCGGGCCGGGGTGGGGGTCACAGGATCTGCTTGGGTGGTGCTGTGTGTAAGGGCTGCATTGGTTAAAAGGAAACCCTTTCAGAGAGCAATTTTGGAAGAAACGTTTCTCATCCTTGCTGGCTGACTTCTGCTCCTCCTGCAGGGACAACTCTGGGAAGTGAGGGGTGGCCAGACCGGGCTGTGGGAGGTTCCAGAGCTGCTTTGCGATAGCATCCCCCCCCCCCCATAATCTGGTGCCAAAACCTCCCTCCGTGGAAATCCTGACTACTCCTTTTCGCTTGGGTTAAAATATTTGCTCTGCCTCCACATGCAAGGGCTGCCTTGGGCTTCCGCGAGGCCGGTTCCTGGCAGCCGCCTTCCTGCATCCGGCCTTGTCCCGGTCAGGGTGCCAACTGTAAGCTGTCTTGACTTTACCCACGGGGGGACGGACGGCGTGTCCAGACGCACAGAGCACAGCCGCTTCCTGTATAGCTGTACAGAACCTAACACGTCGGTCCTTTTAATGTGCAATTTTTGGCAGAAGATTAAAACTGTTAAGCAGTGTTGAACGCATCAACCAGTTTGAATGGTTACGACGATGCCTTTCGCCCCACCGTGTGTGTGTTTTTTCAATACAAAAAAACGGAAGCTGATGACGCTGGGTGAGCGTGTGCGGTGCAGTGGGCAGCGCCTTCGGGGGCTTTCTCCGTTTCAGGGAGACCCTGAGTGGTTTTATAGCGGTTTTTTTGTAGTTCTTTTGTAATGTCCTGTATTAATATTTAAAAATAAAGTATTTTAAAAAGAGTTGCTGTGCGTGATCCAGCCCTTCTGAGTGGCTCTCTGACTGGGCCTTTTGGCACCCTGGGACAGAGGCTCCGGCAGGCCGGCAGTCCCTTCGTGCCGTCGACGGGGCGCACCCCGGGCATGCGCAGGGGATCCCACAAACCACAGCCTCCCTGGCATCCACCTGGGCCCGTTCCCATGACCGGGTCTGCCAGGAAGCGTCCTCCCCCGGGCATCCGGCCCACCCCTGCCTGCCCTCGGACACGGGAGCCTGGGAGCGTGCGCACGTGTGCTGGCGTGGGGTGGCGTGCAGGTGGCCGCCTGCCTCCTGGCCAGAGGCGCTCTGGGCGCCTGGCGAGAGCAGATGTGCCCGGGCACGGAGCAGCCCTGCTGCCCGCCTGCAGGCGGCCTCTGCGCCGAGCGGGCAGGAGCAAGGCTGGCACACTGCTGCCCCCAGCGAAGCGCTTGCCCTGCCCTGCGCGCCCCCAAGAGCATGCCTGGCTTGGGGTTCCCCCCCAGTGGGCTCTGCGGAGCAGGGGGTGGCCCCGTATCTTTGCTGCCTCGGGGATTGTGTGGGGTGGGGGGGCGCACTGGAACGTCTGGGGCCTGCGAAGGAGGGGCCCAGCTGCTGGCCCGGGTGAAGGGAGGGTCCGTGGCCGGGTCCCTAATGCAGGGCTTGAGCCTGGTCGGTCGTCCGCCTGGGATGCTGCGGAGTCCCTGTGCGGGCGGAAATGCCTTCCGTGGCTTTCCTAGGGGGAGCCGGGCCAAAGGGGGCCGCCACTGTTGACGTGCACCCAACCTGGGGCAGCTGGGCACGGTCTGAGCTCCCGGCTCACTGGCTTCGCCGGCTTGAGCATTGGCGCTGGCCAGTGCCTTTGTGTGGCGGCCTGTGTGGCATCCCTTGTACCCCGGCTTTCGCCCAGGTTCATGTGCGGGGCCACTGGCCCGTCTCGGGAGCCCCTGCGCGTCACGTTCCTGGGGCCTTCAGACAAGCACCTCCGCTTGATGTGGGCAGGAGCCGGTTCCCGAAGCAGGGAGCATTCCTCTGCTTGAACAAGAGCTGCCGGGGTGGCCAAGCGACACTCATCCTAGCCCTGCCCCCTGGGAAAAGCAGGAAGAGTTGCCGGGGCCCGCAGAGCTGCAGGCTGCCTGGCTCGCGTTTGCTTTCGGGATGAAGGCCTACACTTCCCAAGCTGTGCCTCCATCCCGGCCAGAGGCCTGTGGCAGAAAGCAGGCCCCTGCTCAGCCTCGGTGCGACCCCCGTCCCTGGGGCTCCGAAACTCGGAGACGTGAAAAGGGATGTCCTGGCCGTCGCTTTGGGTCTGCAGAGTCGAAAGCCCTTCCTGCTCCCAGACAATCACACCACCCATGCTAGGGGCAGGAGAGAGAGATTTATATTGGCCACTGTAGAAATTGGCAACCCCCCAACACGCACGCCAACGAAGAGGAAGGAGAGAAGGGTCTCACCTGGAGCTTGGATGTGCTGGTGCTCCTTCGGGGTGTTTTCTGGCAGGGGGGATTTTTGGCTTTAAAGGGGCCGCCACTCAGATGCAGGGTTTGCCATATTTCTGTGCTGCTCCACAGCCACAGGGGCTCTGGAGTGCTGCCCAGGGTGAGATGAAGACGAGGAACGATTCCTGGAAGGGTTCGGGGGCAGAACAGCAGCACGGCTGAGGCCTCCGGGAGGAGCCCTTCTGAGCAGGCAGCCAGATCTGCGGTGTCTCGGTGCTTGCCCAGCCTCCCGAGGCGTGGAACTCGCGCCAGGCTGCGGGCTCCGTGTGGGTCCGTCCAATCTGCCGGGAATCCCCACGGCGGTTTCCGCACAGTTGGGTCCATCCATCCATTTCTGGGGCGGACCATCCCGTGGGTCCCCCGGCCCTGCAGGAGAGAGGTGATGCCCACTTCCACCCTTGCCTGGAAATGCTCTGACCATGACAATGGAGTTACATGGGATTCCCCCCCCCCCCCCGCCCAATTTTCCAACTCGTCATCTCATGAGCTACAGCGGAGCCCAAACCGAGGGCACGGCCCGCTTCGCAGGTGAGGCTCCGCCGATGCCATCGCTCTGATCCAGTCCCAAGCCAGAGCTCCAGGCGGAGCCTGCCGTCCCCCGAGCCCCGGACCCCTCCGCCCCTCCAGCCCTCGCCAAGCAGGACCTCCAGGCGTTACGAGGATGGCTCTGAATGCCAGTGCTTTTAAAAGTGCATTTGTGGCTGCCGCCGTACGGGAGGCCGGGTTCCTTCTGCAGTAACAGACAGCCTCTCCGAAGGGCAGGAATACTAGCGGCTGAGTCACACTCTCTGTGCAGATTAGTAGTAAACACAATCACAATCAGATTCCCCACTAAAGCTCAGGGAACCCAGGCTCCACTGGGATGCCAGGAAGCACTTCCGGACAGTCGGGACCCCGAGGGTGTGGAATGGGCTTCCATGAGAGGTCGTTGAGGCCCCATCGGTGAGGGTGTTCAAGGACAGGCTGGACGTGCACATGGTGGGCATGTCGTGAGCGGAGCCGGGTGGAACCGGGGGTCAGACTAGATGGCCCAGGAGGCCCCTCCTGACTCGCCCTGTTTATGTTTTTTTGCTCCATGTTTCTAATCCCACCTGTGTGGGAGAGTCCCCCTCCTCCGTGGGCCATGAGTCCCACTGCCACACCGCTCTGCCTTTGGGCCAGCGCTCCAGCCGCTCACGTCTCTCGGGGTACGAGCTCTCCCACCCGGTTCTGTGTCATCGCCACACCCGACCATCATTCCGGCACTTCCTCAGCCAAGTCAGTCATGAAAACGCTGGAGGGTGCTGGGCCCAGGGCTGGGTCCCGTGGTGCCCCGCTCGTCGCCCCTTCCCAGGTGCCGCTGGCGAGCACTCCTTGGATCTGATTCTGTGGCCAACCCGAGATCTTGCACGATGGGGCGGCACACAAAAGCCTTGAATAAACGAACAAGCAAACCAACTGAGGCTCCACCGGATTTCTAAACGGTGGGGCCAAGAAGTGTGTGCAGAGAGCCAGAAGTTCATGTGATTTGGAAGTGACGCTTCTGCTCATGCTGCCCAAAATAGCCCCTGCCTTTCCTGCAGCCCCCTCACTTTGCTGACGCCGACCCAGCTTGTGAGGACGGGTGAGCCTCATGTGGGGAGAGCGCCTGTCCCGACATGCTGTGTATCTCGAAGGAGGGACCCGGGCATCGCCTGTGCCCGTTCTGAAGCCAGCGTTCTCAGAGACACCGACCCACCTGGCTGTCTCGACGCTTCCACATGGTCTCTGCGCCCGTCTCATCTTCCCCAGCAGCTCCAGAAAGCGGAGGAGGAAACCGGAGGGTCGGTCATCCTTGGCTTGATTCTAGCCAGCAGGGCTGAAGTGGCAGCTGCTCTGGAGGGAAGCGACCGTGCCGGGCGTAGAAGCTGGGTGCGAAAGGAAGCAAAAGCCACGTACGGCCCGTCATGTACCCTGGATGTTAAGAAAGCCGATTTTAGTATACTGAGAACAAGGATAAGTAAAGCCCCATGGCAAGCGAATCTAATGAGAGCCAGTGTGGCCCAGTGGTTAAGAGCGTGGGACTGGGACTCAGACGATCTGGGTTCGAGTCCCCGCTCGGCCATGGAGCCAACTGGGTGACTTTGGGCCAGTCACAGACTCTCAGCCCAACCTACCTCACAGGGTTGCTGTTGTGGGGATAAGATGGATGATGTAAGCTGCCTTGAGCCCTTTGTAGGAAAAAGGCAGGATATAAATAAAAATAAATAAAAAAAAAATAAAATAATAATGAGGAAAGGGATCCAAGATGGGTGGGGATTTGTAAAAAAGGAAATTCCCAAGGGACAGCTGCACACAATTCTAACAAGGGAAAATGGTGGAAGAAAGCGGAAGAAGCCCATGAGGCTTCACAAAAACTTTAGCGATGATCTGAAAACATAAAAGGACGTGCACAGGAAGTGGAAGGAAGGCCAGGCGGCAACGGAGGAAACCAAGCAGGTAGGATGGAGCTGCAGGGATGGGATCCGGAAGGCTGGAGCTAGACCTGAGCTGGGCCAGCAAGGAGAGCTAAGAGCAACTGCAGGAGCCTTCTTCAATGTCTGTGGCAGTGACAGTGAACCTTTTAGAGACCGAGTGCACAACTGCAACTCAAAGCCTACGTATTTTTCCCAAAGTGCCAACACTGCAATAAAACCAGAAAACTGAGGTTTTCATTTAGAAAAAACAACTCACAGCCAGTCCAAGCAAATATATATATATCCTTGTCAGCCACTGACTGGCCATGTGAAAGCTCAGCCAAGTAGTGGCTAATGAGTCATGGCTCGTGACATCATTGCCTGGCGCCGCTACTCCTTTCCAAGCGTGCGCATGGCCCCTGTGTGCGCTGTTATCCAATGCTTGGCTGCTGAGGCGAGGCTGGGGTGACTTGGCCCACATGCTGACAGAGAGCATTCCACATGCCCGCTGTGGCACCTGTGCCATAGGTTCGCCACCACTGCCCTAACCCTACACTGGTGCACACCCCGAACCCTAATAGAGGGCTAAAGTTCCATTGAAAATACTGCGATTTTGAAACAGCCTCCCTTGAGTAGCGATTTCTGCACAGCTCAACATTTCTGCCCACTCCAAACACATTCCAAACATCAAAATTCTGCCAGGACTCCTAGTTTTTCTAACCCTAACCCTGTGATGGCAAACCTTTTAGAGACTGAGTGCCCAGACTGCCACCCAAAACCCACTTATTTATCACAAAGTGCCAACACTGCAATAAAACCTGAAAACTGAGGTTTTAGTTTAGAAAAAGAAAATCAGTCCATCCATCCATCCATCCTTGGCAGCGCACTGACCGGCCATGCGAAAGCTCGGACGAGTCGCGGCCAATGAGTTGCGGCTCGTGACGTCATTGCTTGGCACTGCTACTCCTTTCCAAGAATGCACATTGGCCCCTGTGTGCGCTGCTATCCGATGCTCGGCTGCCAGGGTGATGCTGAGGTGACTCGGCTCATGTACCGGCAGAGAGGGCTCTGCGTGCCGGCCGAGGGGCCTGTGCC